ATGGCAATCCATGGCCAATGGGATCTGCGATCCCCTATAACTGTGGAGGTGCAGATAAATAAGGTGCAGGGCGCCAGGGACTAACCCTGGTAGAATGGATCCATCTCACAGGCTGGTATTTGTCCACTAGCTGCTTTATAACATAAAGAGCTGAGTGGTTTAGCTTGGTGCAGTCCTGCCTCAGTGTAGTTACTGATTTTTGTCCCATGGTAAACAGTTTGCCTATCAATCTTGCTTGAACATACTCTGGGAGTTTTATTATTCCCCGCCCCCCCCAGTTGTAGGAGTTTGGTTTCTTATTTTTCAGGACTAAAACTTTCACAGACACTCAGTTTGATTTGTGGTGTGCTGTGTGACACCCCAACTGGCTCAATTCACACATCCAACTGAACTGCACAAGGCGTGGGAGCATGTAAAATGACTTTATGCCACCTCCCTGGCTCTCAAATATAGGGGCTGATTCTACTCCAGCATAAGCCACCTCCATGCTACTCTAACCCCTGCCCTGCTGTCTATAGTGAGGAGATGTCGAGTTGTAGCCAGGATATTACAGTTGGGTGGGGGAAGTAATATTTTTTTATTGGATCAACTTCTGTTGCCTCGTAAACATGTCTTTCTCACCAGCCGACGCTGGTCCACTGACAGGTATTACCTCACCTGCCTTGTCTCTCTATAATTAGAAGAGGCTGTTCTGGCAGCCAAGAATAGCTGGAGCCTACAGATGCAAAATGCATCTTATGCGACTCTTCTACGACACTTCCATAATTGAGGCCTGGGGCTCTGCTCTGTCATGAAGATTGTGACATTTATTAAAAGTGTAATAAACGCAAAGAACCCAATCTAGAAAAAATCCTCTTATGATTATTACTGCATGTCCCAAAATAACCAGCAATTAACCGGACAGAAGAAAGATTTTTTTAAATGAACAATGAGCAGCTTAAGCTGTCTATTGACTGAATCCTGCAATGCCATGCAAGTCTGTACTGCAACAGAACACCTGCAGCTGGCCTGTGCCAGTTGACTTGGGCTCACGGGGCTCAGGCTGTGGGGCTATAAAATTGCGGTGTGGCTGTTCTGCCTCAGGCTAGAACCCAGGTTGTAGGACCCTGCACAGCAAAGGAGGGGGGAGAGAGATCAGATCCAGAGCCCAGCCTCCAGCTGCAGAAACTGAATGTTTATATTAGGGATGTAATAGTATAGTTGAATAACCAATTAACCGACAAGCAAAAGCTTATAGGTTAATGCTATAGACTACATTCATTTCCCTCCCCCTCCCCCATCCATGCTAGTAAATTTTTTAGTAGGCTGGCCAGCAGCCCAGCTCAGCTCCGGCTCATGCCAGATCCAGAAGCTCAGACATGTCCCCCCCAGATAAGGGGCTGCTGCCACCCCGCGCTGCTGCCTCTTTATCAGAGGCAACAGCACATGGCACCAGGCAGCTGGTCTGTGAGGGGACCAGGCGGGAGCTGTTTTTTAAACTGGCTCTCTTCACAGACCAACTCCTGCCTGGCACCCCAGGCTTCTGCCTTGGATACATTGGCAGCAGTGCAGAGTGGCACGGGGCTCCTCAGGAGTGAGGCCAGAGCGCACTGGCTGCTGGCCCCGCCCCCCGGGAGACTATAGAATAGTCGACTAACTGATAAGAATTCATGAGGTTACTCCACTATTCAATTAACCAATATTTAACATCCCTAGTCTACATAGTGATTTTGTAGTCTTGTAGTCCAAGCCCTGTGAGCCCAAGTCAGCTGACATGGGCCAGCCACAGGTATGTTATTGTAGACATATCCTTACAGACTATTTATTTTTTAAAGAAAGACAAAAGGGCCACAGTAGTTTGATTCCTTTCAAAGTAGGCCCTTACTGAAGATAACTAGCTTCTTACCTACCAAATAAGGATTTAATGCTAATGCAAATATTTACTCTCAAAAGAATTCTTAAAAATAAATCACATGCAACTTACTTTACAAGTTATCAATTCTAAATGTAAGTAATTAAGCAGATGTGTTTTGTCTGCATTTAGTAGACACATATGGACAGAGGTGATAATCCTGGATCCATTTAAGTTACTGGTAAAATATTATTGTTTTTAATAAGGGCAGGGTTTCACTCAGAGTGCATTTGGGGACTTGACCCTGCCCAGTTCAAGTCAATGGACATTTGGCCATTGATTTTTAATGGAAATGGGATCAGACTCATAATTAGGGATTCCAATTTGAAATGTAAGGTGACAAGTAACAGAAAACATTGATTGCACTTTAAAAAATTCTGGTTTTAAAAAAATCAACTTCTCCCCCATCCTAAAAATGAGAAAAAGTTCCTTTCATGGGATTTTCAATAGAATTGATATCTTGTTTTTGTTGTTGGCTGAAAATTACCATGTGCATAATTTTTTAGACCCTGATCTTCACTGTTCACATTTAGGCCACACACAGCAGTCGTGTACATTATGTAGCTTGCTTTCTTTGTGTACATTGCATTTTTTGTGTAATTGCAGTGAGGCATCAGATGTTGCAAACAATAAATGAGACTTAAAAACGTTTTGAGTATTTAAAAAATGTTTCTGTTTATTTTGTTGCTAAGGAAACAACTGATTTCTGCTCAAATTTATAGCCATTCAGATAACCCTATCAAATTATTTTTCTAGGAAGTTACAAGGCACAGAAGTCATTAAATATAAACAAGGAAAAGTAGCAAAAAAATATATACCCTCCCACATGCAATCCCTATATATATTTTAGAGGCATGTGAATGATTTATAAAAATCTGATTTGCTCTAAACAGTGGGCAATGGAACTTTTCATATTTGACCCAAATCATTGAAGAAAAGTAGGGCTAGGCCGTACCTTTCAGTCAGACCCAAGTAAAAGGCTGAATGAAGGTCAACTGCCACAAGGGAAACATGACTCAGCTTATCTACACTGAAAAACGCTACTGCATCACAGCTCGGCCGTTGCCCCTGTGTCGCTATAGCACTTCAGTGTAGACACTATGTCTACGTTGACACGAGTTTTCTCGGCAAAAAATATGCAAATGAGAGACTAATTTGCTTGAGTTGCAATTTCACTTGCATATTTTCTGCTGATCCGTTTTTGCACTGGGGTTTTTGCACAAAAACAAGCAGTGTGGATGGTTGTTTTGTGTGCAAAATTCTTAAGCCCCAAAAAAGGAGATATAACAATCTTGTGGGAAAAGGGGGTTTTGCGCAAAAAGAAAACATCCACACTGCTTGTATTTGCGCAAAAACCCGAGCACAAAATCAGATTGGCAGAAAACATGCAAATGAGATCACAACTCATGCAAATGAGTCCCTCATTTGCATACTTTTTACCGAGAAAACTCGTAGTGTAGACATACCCTACCTCTGCTGCCGAGGCGGATTCTTCTGATGGGCTAACACCGTTTACATGGGGAATGAAGTCAATTTAACAGCACCCCTCCGCTGTGTGGATTTTTCATGCTCCTGACCAACAGAGTTAAACCTGAGTTCCCATGCACACCCAGTCTGCACTGCCATCACTACATCCCTTTGTGCATTGTAGAGTACAAGCCCTAGTGCAGTCAACCATTTCTACTGATAGTAGAGGGAGCAAGCCTCACTCTTCCCTGTAGCTTCTTTAAATCCTTCCATCATTCAGGCTACATCTAGACTGCAGGCTTCTTCCGGAAGAAGCTTTTCCAGAAGAGATCTTCTGACAAAACTTCTTCCCAAAGAGAGCATCCACACTGTCAAAGCACATCAAAAAAGCTATCTGGTTTTTTCGAAACATAGCATCCACACTGAATGGATGCTCTCTCACATTTCAGCTGTGATTACTATGGACAGAATGGCCACCAGGGCACCTGTGCTTTTTCCTTTTCTTTTGAAAGAACTCCCTCTTCCCTGTCCACACATGCCTTTTCCCAAAAGAGCTCTTTTGGAAATAGGCTTCTTGCTCATAGAATGAGGATTACCAATTTTGGAAAAGCTCCTCTGTTCTTTCCATTTTCTTTCGGAAGAACATGATTGCAGCGTGGACGTAATTGAAGTTTTTTTGGAAAAATGTCCTTTTCCAAAACACCTCTGCAGTGTTGGCATACCCTGGGCCATGGAGGGAGCAGGTGGATTCAGGCCTGGATCTACAAAGGAACTTAGGCATTTCAATGCTCAGCATTGCAAAGACTAACTCTTAAGCACTTAGGGTACGTCTAGACTACATGCCTCTGTCGCCAGAGGCATGTAGATTAGGCTACCCGACGTAGTAAAATGAAGCGGCGATTTAAATAATCGCCTCTTCATTTAAATTTACATGGCTGCCGCGCTGAGCCGACAAACAGCTGATCCCAGGAGGTTTACCTGGGTGGTCGACAAATACCTTTGATGTCGACACCCGCGCATCCAGACGATAGTCTGGATGCGCGGGTGTCGACATCAAAGGTATTTGTCGACCACCCAGGTAAACCTCCTGGGATCAGCTGTTTGTCGGCTCAGCGCGGCAGCCATGTAAATTTAAATGAAGCGGCGATTATTTAAATCGACGCTTCATTTTACTATGCCGGGTAGCCTAATCTACATGCCTCTGGCGACAGAGGCATGTAGTCTAGACGTACCCTTAGACAAAGCACTGAATTCCACAAATCCTGAGTTAGGTGCATAGGGTCCCTACAAAAGGCATAGAGAGAGTTAGGCACCTAAGAATGGGATTCACAAAAAACAGCTCCTAAATGAAGGAGATGCTGAGAAGTGAGATGTGTAGTAAGCCCCTCTCCTCTACAGTTAGGCACTTAAGTCCAAGCTTGAGAAGTCCTGTCTCTGCTTGTGATTCAGAGCAGAGTTCCAGGAATCAGGCACGGAGGCCATTTCTTACAACAAACATTGACACAGGTGGGGACCTGCCCACCTTATAACTTTTAGCCAGAGATTCGATCATTTACTCGTATATGGGAGAGCTGCATTTAAAGCCCCCTTCTGTATGATGGCAAGAAGGGATTTGAGCAGTGGGCTCCATACTTTTTTGTTGGGGGGGGGGAAGGCATACTCTACCCATTGAGCTAGGGGATAGCCTGATGTACAACTTCCTCAGTTTCTCCTGTTGAAGCTGTTCCATCTTGTATAAAGACTTAACCATTGGCCAGAGAGCTAACCTTGCAATTAACCTAGAAATGGGGGCACTCCCTTGGGAGATGGGGTCCAATGACTTATTTTTTTCCAAAGTGGAACAGCTTGAACCGGAGAGTTTGAGGGAGTCACACATCAGAACATCCCCTAGTGGGTAGGGCACTCACCTGAGTTGTGGGAGACCCTGCTTCAAAAATCCTCTTTCCCAAAAAGGCAGAAGGGCTCAACTGAACACGGGTCTCCCAGATCCCAGGTGAATACTCTACTTGCTGGGTTTTAAGGGAGAAAGTGGCACTGTCACCACTTCCTCAGCAGGTGGAGCATGTGATCTGGTAGGCATGTGGTAAGTTAAGCAGAGGAATGCCCATCTTAGCCTGATTTGAGGACTTGCTGGGGATTGAGATAGGCATCCAGATACCTAACATGAGATTGTGTGCCTGTCTGGAGGCGGGAGCTTAGGTGCCTAGAGAACTTTTGTAACCAAAATTGAGTTTAGGCACTCAAAGTATTAGGTGGCAGCCAAGTGGGTTTTGTGGATTGCAGCGGTACCTAAATCTGGGATTTAGGTGGCCGAATCTGGGGCATTGGTGCCTAAATACCTTTGTATTTGGATCTTAAAGTTGGCTCTCTCACAGTAGCTTAAGGATATACACACTTTTAAAGTGGCCTCTTTAGGCAATAATCTTTTTTTTTTTTTTAAATATTGTTTAAGAGAAACTTGTAACTTATAAAAATAGTCCAGTTTGGCTTTAGTTTGTTGGGAGAAAGAGTCAGCAAACAGCTTTCATCTGCATATATCTGCATACTCAACCTGCATATATTTTTTTCCAACTAACCTAAATAACAGTCATGGACTCAATGTTACGGGTTTTTCATACAAATATACTGTACTGCATTTTCCCCTTTAACATGAACCACATCCTTCAAATCATTCTAAGTATACATTCACATATTTAAGAGTAATGATTTGGCTAAAAATATATATGTCTATTTCTTATCTGATTGTAGTAATTAACCTATCAAGGATAATTTGCTATAAAAGGTACAGTACTAGAAATAAATAGTTCTACAGTTCAAAGATCTTCAAAACAGATTGTCATTTTCATTCTGTTAAATTTTCTGAAGTCCTTTCAAAGCATGAACTAAATTTACTACACTCAAAAAGATAATTTGGACCTACATATATAAAGTCCCAATCAATTGAGAAATTAATTTCACTTAATCTCCTTCTTGGTTTTGTAGTGGGCAGAAACAACCAGGTAATTGTCTGGATTCATGTCCTTGATGGTCGGAGACTTGCTCTGGATTGGAGAGGTTTTCCCATCCACCCGAGAGATCTGTATTATTCGGCATGGGTCATGTTTCAGCAAGTACCCTGCAAAAGTCTCCCATCCTCCTCCTACACGAACCATCACATGTTTGTTATGCAGCATCTGAAATTGCAGAAAAGATAAAATCTTGAAGGGCTACCATGAGCTGAAAATCACATTTCTGTTTGAACATGTTGTGTTTACTATAATTACAAGTTAGATCATTAGCAGCCTGTTTTACAACAAAAATGGGAAGAGGCAGTTGCTTCTGGGTTGCACCACAAGATAATGAAAAGGAAAAAAAAAGCAAACAGGGGAGACAGAAAAGAAATTGCATGTAAGGACATGCAGAACTCAGTCAGATTTTAGCATTCTTAAAAAACGTTCACTTTATGTTCTTGCCATACTCCAGGGGGTGATGTTGTTCTTTAGATGTTTAAGGATAAGCTCCTTAGTAAAACTAGATGTTTTTACCTGGATTTGTTGCAATCATATTTAGGAATGATACAGCTTTTCATGTTGTAAAAACTGGCTTCTGGTTCATTATGGAAAAGGGAAACTAATTCTAGAAAGAGTTGACATTGAAAATAATCTATGCCCAAAATTGTTAAATGAGAGGTGGAGTTAATTTCTTTAATAAAAGAATAATAAATGAATAAAATGAAGCTTCCTTTAGCGTCAGTGACATGATTTAGCATCGTGTACAGTAGTAACAGAGAGAAAGAATAAAGTACGGTGGGTGTAAAATGAAGGATATCTAAAATAATGACAGTAGCCCGAAACAGTCATGGAGATTTCTGATTTCAGAAATAAATTTCAAGTGAAAATACAAATGAAGGTCCAGAGGTATTATAATAATTATTACTAATTAGCATCCCTGTTGGTTCCAAAGTAACCACACTATGCGTTATGCTTGCAATCTGTGTTTAGGAGACCCTTAGACATTAAAAAAAAATACGGCTGTTGCCTGTTAGGACACCCATTAACAGAGGTGTACTGAGAAACATGAAAACTGCCTATCTGCATCATGTCTGATTCTAATGCTAAGTTATCAATCTCTTATATCCATGAGAGGTAAGTATGCATATCCCTTATTTTCATAAGAGGCAAGTATGCATCAGCTGTACTCTCTAGCTCAAAATCTTATTTATTATTAATTATTATTAATTATTATTATTATTATCGTGTGTGCGCATGGCCTGTGATATAGTATTGCAATCAAGTATCACATTGTGGAATGTTGCAATTCTATTTATTAAAAGTATTTTTTTCTTGATATGCAAAAGGTGGGGAACCTATGGGCCAGATTCTTGGAAGCCCTGAGTCTTGGCACCCCCAATAGGGCTAGAGTTGTACACACCAGCTAGCTGGCAAGTCCCAGTGGCCCCTAGGCGCAAGAACAATAAGGGACGTTTTGTCGCCTCCCAAAGGCATGCAATGTTTTGCCCAATATTGTGCCATAGAAAATTCCAATACTAATTATATATTCTTGTATTGTTATCTCATTTACACCAGAGTAACTCTTCTGGCTTCAAATTATACTAGTATCACTGAGCCCAGAAGCTGGCAATTTGATAAAACATGAAATACATGAAATATCACACTGCATTCTCCTGCAAAACAAACAAAACACAATCTTTGTCCTGCATATTACAGCTCAACCTCTTATTAATTTGTTGTGTGAGACATTATAGTTGATCAGACTCTGTTGGATGAGAACTTCAGAAACAGTAAGAATTTGGATCCAGCAAGATCCAGCAAGTGTAAAGCTTATTAGTCAGACTTCAGTGTTGACATGCAGGAATTTTCATATTGCTACCAGCTGAATTTGAAGTCAGTGGTATACAGGTTGCACCTCTATAAACCGGGACTCTTTGGTCTAACAACATGTTCCAAGAGCAGAAAGACACAGCGCGCTGTGGGGGGAGGCAGGGTGGGGTGGAGGGGTGGGAACCTGGCTTGCTGAAGGGGGAGGGGAGAGCTGGGCTGTGGTTCTGGGGCTGGGAGCCTGGCATATGTCCCATTTGGACTGCTGGGAGTAGGGAGGAGCAGAAGCCTGGTGTGCTGCTGAACTAGGACGCTGGGGGAGGGAGGGCGGGACGCTGCCATGCTGAGGACAGGTGCTGGGGAGCCAGCTGCATGGCTCAGCTGAGTGGAAGGGAGGGGCCGGGAAGCCCAGCACACGTTCCAGGTGAGCTGCTCTGGGAAGTTGGCAAGCCCTGTGGGGTGGTGGGCGGGTACCAGGGGAGGGGCACAGCAGCAGAGGGGTCAGAAATGACCTCCTCTGGTCTGGCAAAATCACTCATCCGGCACCAGTAGGTCCCGAGGGTGCCAGACCAGGGAGGTCCAACCTGTAGTAGAAATATGAGAAAACATCCTTAACAGGCAACAGTATCACAAAGGAATATATAAATTATACCTCTGCAGTATACATTAATATACTCTCAAGAGGCAACATGAAATAAATGTATGGAGAAACATTTGCAATACGAATCATGTGGACTGAGCTGCCATTACACAAGACTTTGGAACGACAGTGAATATATACTAAAAATGGATGTGTGTGTCACAGAAACTCAAGTATAGAGAGCCTCAGGGTTTACTGAAGAGATATTAGGCTATACCCTTAACTCATGTAAATGTAACTCAATAAATAGTGCTATGATGGTTTACAAGAGTGGAGGATTTGGCCCAGTATATTTTTCTTGATACTATATTTCAGCCATATTTAAATATGCACTTTGGAAGGTGGGGAGAAATTACACACTGTGACTTTAATCCCAATCCCATTAGAGCCAAAAGGAAGGAATCTCAGTTACTTTAATTAGAGTTGTATCAGGCCCTAGAAACCAAAATCAGCAAAATTCAGCCAGAAGTAAGTTGGAAGCCTCCAGGTCATATTTAGTGGTGACATAACTAATGTCATTAGGCGTACACTGGTCATAAAGTGCTGGGGGCCTAGTGACAGGGTAGAGTTATTTGCAACTATCTGATATTCAGAAGTTATGCAATTTATACACTGAAAAGATGGAAGGTTGTGCAGCAGGGAAAGCAACTACTCGTGGGTGTATATGGCTCTAGATTCTAGAATGAAGATCACAGCCACTTCAACTTACCTCAGCTGAATTTGGGCCAAATAATCAAATTAATTCTTGTCATAAGAGGGCACAACTCGCATTTGCCATAGTTTAGCACTAAATATCCCATTTTGAAATGTACTTAGCACTACAACTACCACAGATGTCTAGAATCATCAATTTTTATATAGGCAAGGAGACAAATGCTGTTGACACTTCTTTAGTGGGAGAGGGAGGGAGGAGGATAAGAATGCATCATGAAAGGACTGCATTTCTGTAGCAACTGTATTAAATGTTTAATATAATTCAGTAGTGGAAATTCCTAGTGCATTGCTAATCAGCTGCAGCATTTTACCCCACAGGTGGCTGCATTCCAATGGTTGAGGAAATTATCCTTGTCCATTGTTGGTATATGATTGCTAAAACAGTAAGACTATACTGTGCTTGTGTTTGTAGGATTGGACCGCTAAGGCCCAGTCCTACAATGTGAGGCATTTAAGCAACGCCCAACATGCTTCAGTGAACGCAGGGAAGCTCTTTAAAGTCATGAGGGTTTGTCTATGTGCAGCAGGAGCACAGCATAATTTTGTAAAAAACTTTGGGATGGGAAATGCTAAAAATTAATTAGAGGATGGGTAAATTATTGAAAAGAAACAAGGTTTTTAATGAATTTAGATCTTTTACTGTTTGTAAATTGCGTATCAACAGATCATTATTTCTGTGATTTTTTCTTATTCAAATTAATTTAAAAATAGTTTTATAATATATACTGTATAATACATTATGCAAATATGTTTCTGCCTGTGGATAACTCTCAGATAATTCACTTTTCACAGGAATATTCACTGTCCCAAATTCACATTGCTTTGACTGGACACATGTCATTTAGTTAAACACAAAATGTTAAAGTTAGATTTGCAGTGTGCAAATACTTTAAATTCTAGATTAAAAATATCATTTTCTGTAAATATTATTGTCAGTAATATAATTTTAGAATATTCATGAAATGAAAACCCAAAAGAGTAAAAATGCTATCAATGAGAATTCATTTAAAACTGTGAATGAAAAGTTGTCATTTTTTTAATATTTGCTTGACCTTAATATTCAAATATTATGAGTTCTTTAATATAAATACATTTCCATGCAAAATCTCTTAAATTTCTATGCTTTTCTTAAGTTTCCAAGATCAGGAATCATCTAGGAGATGTGTAAGTCAACATTTGAAATCAAAATACACCAGCATAGGTCTGGACTAACTCCAAGAGCTCCATCTGTTTTAAGTATTTGTGGTATTATGTGTTTCTAAAAAATCATGTGTTTTCAGCAGTCCATGAAAAATTAAAATACCAGTTGGATTTACTATTGTAAAGTACCCTGCTTTAAAAATTATTACACTAACCTACATTCAAGAGAATGCATGCAAGTTGAATTTTTAGGTATCTTTAATGCAATATCATATTGAATGTTTATTTATACTTCATCACTGGGGATCAGTAATTTCTGCCAATATTTTTCCATCTAGTTTTGTATTGGGCACTTTTCAACAGATTTTCTTTATACATTCCCATAAGGAAATAGCTTTTTAGAAATCATGGGTAACTATTGCTATGTTTAATAGCTTTGATAATGCCTACTAATCAAAACAGGAAAATGAGCAAATGAAAATTCCCAGCATGACTATGAAAGAAATACTGAATGGATACCAACTAAAATGGCCAACATTGTTCCATAATATTTTGAACAAAACCTGAAATTTAAAAAGTTTAAGGGACAGATTTTTGCTCATGTTAATCCAGAAAAACAACACTGATTTAAAGACAGAGTAATGTTACTGAGTTAAACCAATGTGATTAGTTTGTATTTATATCAGCGTAACTGATATCCAAATGTGTGTGTAAGTATCAGTAGTAGAGCATCTCCATTTGTTTTGTATAGTCTCTCTCGCTCTCTCTGTCTCTCTTTAATTAAAAGTCTGTCTGGAGTAAAGTCACTCCCTACAGAAAAGCACACTCCGGATCTTACACTAATGGTTTGGTCTAATTAGTT